AAACTTGGGCAGTTTTTCCGCGAAGTTGCTGTAGGACAGGTGTTGGTATTACATGAGGTCTTATTCATCTAACATACCTATTTAGAATTTGGTTTAGAGACATCTTGAGCATCTGGGACCACTTCTAACGCTCAGCACTTCTGGAAATCTCACGGGGGTCTTTTTTTCAGGATGAATTAGAATCGTTTAGGTTGGAAAAGACCTTTAAGGTCATCAAGTCCAACTGTTAACCTAACGCTGCCGTCCCACCACTAAACCATGTCCCTAAGCACCACATCTACCTGTCTTTTAAATACGTCCAGGGATGGAGACTCGACCACTTCCCTGGGCAGCCTGTTCCAATGCTTGACAACCTTTTCTGTGAAGAAATTTTTCCTAATGTCCAATCTAAACCTCCCCTGGTGCAACTTGAGGCCATTTCTTTGTGGCAGTTGTTTTAATACAAGTTGATACTTGTACTTTCATCAATGCTTTCAATGAAAAAATCCAATAGCAGGATAAAATGTTACTTTAAAATTCTGCCAGTTATCCTCAGAACCTGATATTCTCTCTCTTTTTTTTTTTTTTTTTTTTTTTAAATGTTATGTTGGAGTTAATCTAATCAAATTGATCAGAAAACAGTGGAAGAGTCTTCATGGGCCTGCCGCCATATGGGTCATTACAGAAAAAAGTGTAGGCTTTCATTCTGTAAATCAGGGATTCATTTATGAAAATAACTATGGGTCCTCCTGATTTGATTAATGTTACTCATACCAACTGAATAAGTACGAGTTTCTGCAGGGTTTGTACTCTGTTGCTGTTGCTAATAGGAAAGCATCTACTATCTCAGTTAGACTGTATCTAGCTGGCAGTCACAGCTGCAGTGAAAACAGCAGGCTTGAGTTTGGTGCTTGGAGGGCTTATTTCTAAAGCAGAAGTGATTTTAAATATCTGAAAAGCAAAATTGCTATTAGAAATGTAGAGAGCGTTTTCTGTATAACGTTGCTGTTTTTCTCCGTAGTCGCTTGATGGCTTTAAAAAGAATGGGAATTGTCAAAGACTATGAGGTAGGATTCTGTCTGCATTAAAATAGCTTTGCATTTTTTCCCTGCGAGGACCACTTTTGATATACTGATCTGTATTTATTTCTTTCTACAGAAAATCCGTACCTTTACAGTTGCAGTAGTAGGTGTAGGTGGAGTTGGCAGTGTGACTGCTGAGATGTTGACAAGGTGTGGCATTGGTAAGGTAATGAGAGTTTTCTTCTTCTACGTCGTTATAGTAGATGGACCAGTCATCTTCATAAAGAGTTAGATTCGATTTCACTCAGTTGATTTTGCCCAAATAAAAAAGTATTATGAAGAAAGCACTCAAGGACAGCACTTGCGTAAACATTGCAAATGACGAGTCTGTATTTTTCTTATGCTAGTAAAATTGATTTACTTAGGGCTTAATTTACTTAGGGTTTAATCCTGTATCATGTGGGTGAGTCTTGTTTGGGTGCCCATCTATCTAACCTTCATACTGGATTATTGCAAAAGGAAACCAAAGTAAAAAAAAAGGAGGGAGTAACTCGCATAGGAGATTAAGTCTTACATTATGAGAACAAGTTGATATTCATGAACTTGAAATACGGTAGATGTCAAACAGATATTTTTATCACAAACATTAGTTCATCATGTGGCAGACTTAGAGCTAAAAATTTAGCAGTAGTTAAAAATAATTTGATGTGCGTATAGATAACAAGAACCTCCAGAGTTAATAAATAGGATTTTTCTTTAAAGGAGGAATTTGGGGAATGGCTTAGATGTTTGTATTTCCATACAAAGCCTGACCATTTACTCTTGGAACTTTTAAGAACTTTTTTAGTACAGAGGTGATGCAATTTTTTATCACAAAGTTTATTCCCCCTGCCTCTGAAGGAGCATTTCTTGAAGACCAGCATCTTGGGCATAGAAAAGGACATTGGACGGTTGATTCAGAATTTATAATAATCAACAGGTCCATGTATGTTTTTGAACAACTACATGCCAAGACAAGTGAAAGAAATTGCACATTTCTAGTTAATGCCATTACAGCAAGTAGGAATGTGATAACAGAGTTGATAGTATTCGTATAGATAATCTGTTGAATATTCTTAGTTATCAAAATGATCAAATGAACAGATTGCAGTTAATATTGGTAACTTTTCTATGTGAACTGAATGGGACTGCCGGGCAGGGTGTTCAGTTCGGGAGGTTGTTGGTTTTAGAATGAGTTTTGTTGTTTAAAATGCCTTGCCACAGTGCTCCAGTTGCAGAGTCCTTGGAGATTCACATATGTCAACTCAATCTTTATTATAGCTGCTTCTGTTTGATTATGACAAAGTGGAATTGGCAAACATGAACAGGCTCTTCTTCCAACCTCATCAAGCTGGATTAAGTAAAGTGCAAGCAGCAGAGCATACTTTGAGGTATAACTTAGAGAAGTGGGTATCAAAATCTATTTACCCAGGATGCTGCTCCAGAAAACTGCAGTTTCGTTCTTAATCACTTGCAAAGTAGCATGATCTAATTTGGAATTTGAGTATAAAATAGTTGTGGGAATGATTGATACTTTTAAGGGCATTTTTGTACCGGTCAAAACTTTAATATAAGTCTACTTTTTAAGTATAGCTAATTTTGCTCAGAAGTTAAGTATAAACTATACCACTTCGCTATGTTGTGATTTTTCTCTTCTCATCTAATCTGTGAATTTTTGACAAATATGAGTGTATTCTAGACTTCAGACTGGAAGCTTAAGACAGTAGCCACACTTGTGAAGTTAGGGAGTAGAATGCAAGTTATCATTGTATTTATTAACGTTGACTCATTATTTCCTCCATAAGGAATATTAATCCTGATGTTCAGTTTGAAGTACATAACTACAACATCACAACACTGGACAACTTTGAACATTTCATGGATAGAATAAGGTAAAATCTCTCACTTTCTGCTGGTGTGTGGCTATAAATACAGTCTCACATTTTTATTGTTGTGGGTTTTTTTTCAATTTAATGACTTCCAATGGAAAACCAATGGGAAATATATATATGGGACATTTCTGCCTAGAACTTTTCTCTAGAGTTGGCATTTCTTTCTACTGTTACATAGCTATGCTTTGTATTAGCGCATCTTTAGATTTCCAACCAAAGCTGCAGGTCTTACAGGCTTTTCCCATTACAGAAAACAGATCAGATCATATTTTGACTGCTCCGGAGTAGTTTCAGGTATGCTTTATAGAATGAAGAACGAAAATAATTAGTGGATCTCACAGAGAAGTTCCAAAATAACTTTTCCTGTTTGTAGTTATGTTGTACAAAGATACAATTCTCCAATACTTTGTACTGTGAGTGTATACTATATAAAACTTCTTTTAATGTAAAATGCCCATATATTTAAATCCCAGCCTCAGCATGCTGTTGTTTCTACAGTAGATCTAAGACGCCAGTTGTATGCTGTTCTGCGTTTGCACAAGTTTTGTTAGAAATACACTTCCCATGTGCTTCTCTACTCTAAAGCAGCATGTTGAGTGCCATGTTGGTATTTTGTTGCAGCAAAGTTCATGCAAACTTCTGATACTTATTTCAGTAACGGCGCTCTAGAGGAAGGGAAACCTGTTGATCTCGTTCTAAGCTGCGTGGACAACTTTGAAGCTCGCATGGCAATTAACACAGTAAGGCCGTCAAAGGCATGAGCTTGTGGAATTCTATTTCCTCCTTTGTTAGGAATTGTGGGGACCAGAGAAAAGACAGAAACTTATCAAGAATCTTCCAAGAAATTTCCTCCTTGGTTTAAGGAAACAGAATCTGAGCTTCTGCCCAGTTCATATTTTATGTGAACAAATACAGCTGTAGTCTTTTAAATTACTAGCACCTAATGGTTAGTGAAAGAGTTAAGTGTCATTAGCTCTATCAGTATTTCCAAATTACCCTGTTTATATGAAGCTTATTACCAAAGCCTGGTATGTTAAATCTTACAGACTTTTTAAAGACTGTGTATAGCTGATTGTATACTTTGTATGACTTTTTGTGTACTAAAAATGTCTTAAGGCTGTCTACCTAATCAAACTGGTTTTATTTATGGTAGCAGCCAATGTAGAGTATATGCCAAATGCAATTTTCTATTAACTTTCAGCTAACTTGATCCATAAATTGCATGCGCTGAAGGTACACAGATACATTGTATCCATGCCTCTAACAGTGGTTTGTGCAATTAGATTCTGTAGTGTGCTAGTAACGGGATTGCGAATGCCTGTATTTCTTCAAAAACCTTGGGTTGTCAGGAAAGCACAAAGGGAGGACAGCTTTAATTTGTCCTTTGATAAACAATTTCTATTCTGCCTTTTCATGTTCCTTTTTCTGATCATAGCCTTTTTGTCTTGAAGCGGAAAAATCAATGTGTTTAATTGCTCTCAATTTACAACGTTTTCGGGGCTGGTGGTTTGGGTTTTGTTTGTGGTTTTGTTTTTTTTTTTCATTAAAATTCTGCAGTGCTGATGTGTGTGTTTTCTGTGTTTATAAGGCCTGCAATGAACTTGGACAGATCTGGATGGAATCTGGAGTGAGTGAAAATGCAGTGTCGGGACACATACAGCTGATCATACCTGGTGAATCTGCTTGTTTTGCGGTATGCAGTGCTCTACTGAACTTCTCATTTTTGTCTTTTAAAGCAGGACTGGGAATACAAAGATTAGCTGGCTAGTAAATGTGATCCCAGCACAGCTGATGGAGTAGCTTAAAACTTTGATCTATGGGGTTTTTTTAATACTTTTTTTAAACTTAATTTTTTTATTTCCCCTCAGTGTGCTCCTCCACTTGTAGTTGCTGCAAATATTGATGAGAAAACATTAAAACGAGAAGGAGTTTGTGCAGCTAGTCTTCCTACAACTATGGGCGTTGTGGCAGGAATCCTTGTACAAAATGTCCTGAAGTAAGTGACTGAATTGTTGATATTCCATGTATAGCACAATAAGAGAAAGAAACCTGAAGGAACATTTCATGATGGCAGGTCTGGTTCTTTTTATACATTTGTGGCCTGTTTCCTAAAGGTATTGGCATCATTGGACAGGGCTGAAATACACATTGCTTGAATCACTGGTGTGTTTACTTTGGAGCTGCTATTTTTAATAGAACTTTTCAGGGGTAAGAAAATGTCTCCCAAGTTTTCCTAAGAATTTTGCTTATTGCATACACACGTGCACATTTTTTTATTCTTACATTTAAACATGCTCGCATTTGACATTTTGTCAGGTGACTACAGCTTATTTTAAAACCATTACAGTAATTCTTGACAACTTCACTAGTGTGAAAGTGTATTCTGAAAGTTCTTTGAGGAAAAATTATTCACTGAGCAACTGATTTTTTAGGTTTGCACCTGTATATAAGGGCCTGCTTTCTTTGGTTTTGTTTCTAGATACCTGTTAAATTTTGGTACTGTGAGTTATTACCTTGGTTACAATGCGATGCAGGATTTCTTTCCAACTATGTCTATGAAGCCAAATCCACAATGTAGTGACCAAAATTGCAGAAAACAGCAAGAAAATTACAAGGTAAAAATGTTTTGTGGTTTTGGTTTCATTGCTACTCCAGTTTTCAGCAGCCTTGTCTTCAGATGGTTGCATGCATTTCTAAAAATACAGTACTCTAGAGTTATCTTACAGGTACCTAAATACCGTGTATCTTAAAACAAGTGTCAATATTAGATTTGATCTTCTTTGCTGTTGTTGAAAACCGGACTATTACATATATATATATTATGGTTTTTATCTTTTTGTGTTTTTCCTTCAGAAAAAAGAAGCTGCACAACCAAAAGAAGAAGTAATTGAACAGGAAGAAGAAATAGTACACGAAGACAATGACTGGGGTAAGTAATCAGCTGGAGACTAAATGATGTTCCCAGTACTGAGATTCAAGTCTTTGTTTTGGGTGAACACACCGTAGGGTACATAGACTTCTTATGGTTCCTATTTTTTGTAACTTACACTGTGTAGTTACTGCTGGCTTTTCACAGGTTTTGACAGTAGTGTTACCACAACTTCATGGTGTATTTTTAGTGTAATGTGCAGGTTTTAGGCTCAAAATGTAACCACTGTTTGAATAAAAAACTTTCTCAGAAGATGATCTGACAATATGAAAGATGTGAGAAGATGCATTCACTGTGTGTTCCTTTTATATATGTAACTAAAGAGCATTTGTCATTTCCGTAACCACTGTGCTGATTTTTATATTCCTCTGAGGGCTTTAAATTAGAAGGAATTGCCTTAAGGAATGGTAAGCGTGTTTTATATCACCATTCCAAGAATGGATATTTACATTCTGGTTATTACATGACATAGAAAATAATCTAGTTTACCATTGGGAGTAGTGTCCTCACAGTAAGATGTAAATGGTAAGGACAAGGAAGTCCTATAGGAGAGTGCCATTCTTGTCCATAAGCTACCTGTATAGAACCTTTTCATATATTTTAAAGGGAAAATACTTTGTATTGATAATGGAATGAAGTAGTTGAAATCAAAGGCCTTTCTGCTTTTCAATTTTTTCCATTTTGGAAAAGTAGCTGCCGTTTTCTTCTTACTGCGATAGCACAGTGATTAAAGAACTTTTTCTTCTAACTTTTAATGGAGTTCTTGATTCCTTTTAATGCAAAGGCATCGAATTAGTAGCAGAAATCTCAGAAGATGAGCTGAAGGCTGCATCTGGCCCAGTACCTGAGCTTCCTGAAGGAATTACTGTAGCATATACTATCCCAAACAAGGTAATACATTTATTCTTTATGATTTTTTGAAATACATGTTGTAGACTAAATTTATAATACCAGCCAGTTTGGTTACCCTTTAAACCTGGAATGAAATTCCCTCTTGAACAATTCCAGTGAAACTGGACCTCAGTACATCTGATTTAGTGCCTTCTATAGCCCAGTTCTGCATTTCTGTGAAATGTATTTCTTTATGTATGGATGCTCTTGTGACTGTAGTTTTGAGGTGATAGGAATTAATGTATTGGGGGAAGGAAAATGTGAATTTCTCAGTTGATACTTCGGTGACTAATTAGTTTTTACTGTATTTATCTTGTAAAAGCTCTATGTAGTCAAAGACCAATTAGTGTACCTGGGGAACACAGAATCTGTATGTATTGCGGCCAGAGCATTCTAACTCCTCATCAGAATAGTCTACAACTGAAACTTAAAATCACTTAGGCCTAATCTTGTAATTGAGTGCTTGGTTCTAGGAAAATGGTGTGGTGTATCGGCAATCAAGCTTATTTGTGTGGGGTTTTTTGTTTGCTGCTTTTATTGCCAACATTTTCTTCCCATTCCTAATAGGAAGAGAATTTGATAACTGAGGAAACGGTAGCAGAGTCTGAAGAAAGCCTAGAAGAACTCATGGCCAAAATGAGAAACATGTAGCAAAACAAATACTAAGTACAACTTTTGGAGTCTGGATTGACATTGGATTTTGAGAAGAGCAGACTTCTTCCCCCTACCACCATCTCTACTGAAGCTTGTCTTTACATTTCTGATGAAACGGAACTGTTACAGGGGCAGGAAAGAAACAGACTTTGTTTATATTCTGTTGTCTATTCACATCCTTAAGATAGGGAGTTGTGGTACTTTAAATTTTTATTTCTCAGCATTGCTACTGTCCAGATGTTCAGTAGAGAATAAAAGGAGATGGATAAACTAACAAAAGCAGGCGTAGCACCTTATACGCGATATCATGTGATGAGAACAGTGCATGGTATAGGCCAAGTGAAGGATGAAATCTGCTGGAGCGGATCGAATAGGTCAAGCGCAGATGATTGTGCCTCACTCATGTTGCTGCTCTGATTTTCCAGGCACTTGCACTCGTTGTTCACTGGTCTCTGTTAAATTCTTGGCAGGGATTGTGCTGCGGCTACTTTTTCTGAGTAAACAGAACATTTCAGCCTTTTCATCTGCCTTAAATATCTCTGGGATGGAATTTTTTTTTTAAACTTCCTTGGTTTTATCAATGCTTTATTCCTGCTTGTTCTTAAATAGCTGCCTGTATGTTTTGTATGTGATAATGCTTTGAGTATGCTGCAACAAGGCAAAGTCGTTAATAGATAATTATGTTAGCATGCCACTATTTCAGCTGGCAGATGCTTTTCATGACAAAATCAGTAAGAATTACCAGCAACACTGGAAAACCAGGAGATTTTGTGTCTCCCTTTGAAAATCTAAATGTTGTATTTTTGTTCATGATTAAAAGTTTAGCTGTAACTCTGATCCATCACCATCACATGGGCTGTATTAAGGAATATACTTAATCTGAGTTTGCATAGGAAAGCTTCTAAACTGAGATGCTCTAAACTTAGCTGAGCTATTATATTTGTCTTGTAAATAATGCTAGTGCAGTCATAGCACCTTTTAAATTACCACGTGTTGAACCGACCTGTAAATGTACACATCCCGTAGAGCCAGTATCCCACAGCACTGGAAGCATCAACTTTAAATATTTTAACTACCGTAGGTCTCTGATCCAGAACTCGATCATTATTTAGATTTGGCTTAGAAGAATATAAATTTTAAGCCTTTGCAGTATAATAAAGTATTTCTAACTGGGCTGTTCAAAAAACCTTTTCACAGCATGATGCAGCCAAGATGGAACCAGCTAATAATTGCAGTAACAACCAGCATGTAAAAAGAGAGTAATACTGTAGAGGTGCTTCCGTTCCTTAGGGCAGCTGAATGAATACTTAGTTAAAAATTGTTTGATTTCTAACCAACGGTTGCGAACTTCAGAATGTGTTTCCTCCACAGCTGACACTAGGTTATGTTATACACATACAAATCATCTCTGAAGCTCATGAGGGAGGTTTTGGGTGTGGTGCATTATACCGTAAAGTGGAAGTGGGTTTTTTTTGGGTTGAGTTCAGTTTGGGAGAAACCGGATTTTAAAAATGAGCTGTAAAGAGGGATGGGAAATAGAACAATGAGATCATTAAGAAGGTAGGTACTTGAATCTCTGTCCCTGAGCCTATTTTGGCTTGATCCAAGTGTCAATTTACATGTTTTACATTTCTTTGTGATTTTACCATTCTGTTGGGAACAATGAAAGTGAGGCACATGCCTGGCTTTGGAGATCCTGAGGCAAACGGTTGATGCATGTCTACAACAGCTCGGTTAACTTTGACTCTGAACTATTTGGCTGACATGACTGCTATCACATGATTGACAGTTTTACACGAGGCAACTGTTTACCATTTTACTTCATGTACAGTTTTATGAGCAAATTAATACGCTTTTGTATGCCCACTTACAGAGCATGCAAAATGGTTCTCGTGTTACTTTCAGACTTTCAACTTGTATATACAAGAAGAATTTCAAATAATTAGAAAGCACATTAAGATGATTGTACGTGCCAATGGTTAAAATTATTTAAAAATAAACAGCATTGAGAAAAGCACTTTTAAGGATTTTTTTTTTTTTAAGTTTGAAAAAACATTTAGGAGTATAATCTACTTAGACTATACAACCTACTGGAAAATTTACAACCTCATTTGTTATGAACTAACAAATTAAAGCATATTTCAATGGTTTAGTCCAGCTTTGTTTCTTTGGCAACCTTATAAAAGAAGCTTTTAGTTTTTACAGTGTATCATAAACGTTACTGAGATGTTGATATTCTGACCATATGATTAAATCTCCATTGAAACTGGTGACTTTGTTTTGAGGTGGAGTTCTCCTACATAGGAGGATTATTTGGCGCACACCAGATGTACAAACTACTTTTTTTTTTTTTTTTCCCCTCTTTTAATGTCTGTGAGGTACAACTACAAATACATGAGCAACTGTCTTAAGAGCACTATGATTATAGCTGCATCAGTTTATGGCCAACCTGTGGCCTGCAAAGACCCTCCGCTTATGACTCGTGATCCTGTTTTACTTTCTGTAGAAGGTTTTCTTTGGCTTGACAGGTTAAGCGTATTGTTTCCTGGCTGTCTTTGCTAATGGACCAGGGATGGTGGGGGTTTGCTATTTTTTTAGGGACTTGCTTTTCTTCTAAAAAACATCCTGCAACCTATGAATACATTGGAGAGAAGTCACTCAGGGGAAGAATGGCAACAGTTCAGAATTGGAAATCACTAGATGGGAAAAGTCTGATATAACACTGAAAGTCTAGAAAGTAGCTTCTTATTTAAGCTAGCAATATTAAGGAAAACGACACAGGAGAGCAAGATATGTCATTATATATTATATACACATATTATGTATACATGTTAAAATCAGAACAGAGGTGACAAGCTAGACCAGACACCTCATAATTCGTAACACTGCCTTTAGAGGAGGGAATTACCAGGTCTGAGAAGAAAAAGCACCAGAAACACATACAAGGGGAGAAGGTTGAGGTTTCAGGGTTTTGGTTTTTTTTGTTTGGTTTGTTTGTTTTCCTTTCACCCCTCTCCTTACTTGGTAACAATCCTGAGAAGAACTTCCCAATTTTCAAAAATTTTCAAAGTGGCTGGAATACAGTGGAAAAACTCTAGCTCTGATAAAAAAACCCCAACACTTTCTGAAGTAAGAGGAAAATATCCAGAGAGCAACTCTTGTTGCTGTACTGCAGTATCTTCAAAGCTATTTTTGATTTTTTTTTCCAACTAAATCTTCATCTAAAAATCAAATTTGGGTTGTACATTTGTTCTATCAGTTTTATATACTGTTTGTTCTGCCAAGTTACAGCCTTATCAAAATACTAAATTCCTTCTAATGAGAACAAGGGCTGAAATGGGTTATATTTAACTTAATTCTAAAAGGGAAAAAATAGTATGGAAGGTAAGTATCCCTTTGAGGTAAAGGCCATTTGCATTTTTCAAACTGGATCTAATATATCAGTTGCCTCTGAAACATTATAGAGAGGTTTCAATTAATTTTTCACTTACATTCAATTCTTTGTAAAAAGTCTTTTTTTAGTACATATTTAAATTGATTCATGGATTTATGCATTGCATGAGAACAGACTTAAAACTGATTGTTCCAGTTGACTAGGGTATTAAGAAATACAACAGGCAGGCAGATTTGATTAGCATCTCTTTATCTGATGGCAAACTATTTTGCATCACTGGGTTTTTCCAGCTAATACAAACATTCTCGTATTTTAAGAGACGCAATGAGATTAAATAGCCAAAGTATCGCTGAAGGGTTAACAACAGGAAATCAGGTCACCATTATCTCCGTTCTGATTCCTCGCTGGAAGTATTTTTACTGAACACAGCTGCATCTGACAACAGCTTTAACTGTAGATGATGATATATTTAGATATATTGGCTTCCCAAGGAAACCAATTATTTTTGCACAAGTCCCTTGAATGTAAGTTTGCTTAAAGCTGGAATCACCCTGCAGGTAAAACTCTGGGTGGAAGAGTATTTGGACTTTTTCAAAATCGCTCTCTCTTTAGAAACAACTTTAAAAGCTTCTGAAAAGGCAGAAAGGATCGATAAAACAAAAATACACAAATCCTCTAAGCCAGGCTATTGCAACACAGAAATAAGAACTACCCCACAGAGTATATACAATTGGTTCAATGTAAATTGTTATAACCCTGGCACTTAGGCGAAGAGGTCTCAAATCCACGTTTTTGGTATTAGCTATGACTTGAGCTAGTAACTAATATGGGTATCTATATGCCATGAAAGAAGCTCACTTTGTACCGTACAGTCTGCAAAGTTAACATGGAAGGATTTCAAGCTTAAGCATTTGTTTCCCCGTCATTCATGAAGACAGGTGTCGGTCCCAAAATAGTACATTATCCTAGGAAAAATAAAATTTGCCTTAATAATTTTATGCCTGCTTTAAAATAGCGATAGAGGCTGCCTTTTCTTTGAGCAGGTTTGTATCATCACCTCTGTCCATGTTCCAGGAAAACGTTTGGTGATAACGCACTTTTTAAGCTGAATGTATCTCCACTTAGTGAGTGTCGAGAAGTCGCTTTGCCACCCATCAACAAAGTCTCTGCTTCTTTTATTTCCATAGCTCTCTTGTAAAGTTCAGCTGCCTTCTCAAAGTCGCCCCCTTCATAGCTTTGGAGAAGAGTAAGACAAAGTTGAAACATGCAAATAAAACAAGTATCTCGATTCATTTAAATTGAAATGCACACCATGCTATCAACAAAGTGTACTTAAGGGTCTCTACTTTCCTAGTAAGTGCACAAGTCCAGGATGTTTTGTTTCATCCAATAAATTTTACAGTAATTTATAGGGCTAAAGCATATCATCTTACCTTAGCACAGCCAAGTTTTTCAGAGTTTCCCCCACACGAGGATGCATGTGACCAAAGCTGTCCTCATAAATCTTTAGTGCACGTTCATAAAGAGGTAAAGCTTCAATCTGTTTTTTCTTTGGGTAGTAGAAAATTGTTTGTTACAGCTGTGTATTACATTTGCTATTTTTTTTTCCAACATAGGGTCAACAAATCCTAGATGCAAAATCATGCATGTTTAACCAAAAAGGTATTCTGAGTTCTTGATGCTGTTGACAGATGAGGATAATAATTGAGATTGTCAAAGCAATTGGCTTGCACTTGCAAAAGCAATTCCAACTAATATTATAATAATTAGGGTCTGGACTTTCTAGGCAGTTTTGAAAAATCTGAGTCCTCAAAGTTTTGAGTTACCAAATGCTCTTTAATTTTACCTGAGGCAGCTTTAATGCCTGTTTAAAATCAGATACGCAGATTGCAGAAATACAGAAACCAAGAAAACAATCTACAGCTCACTCCTATTGATGCTAAGGAAGGAATTCGGTAAGCTGATTTGCATCTCCTTTGAATTTCATATTAGTTGTAGACTAGAAAGTCTACAGCCTTCTCAGATTTTTAGTTACACAGAGTTGCAGTTCATCAAGGTGGGCACTCTTCATTCACGGACATCAATTTCAAAGGATTGCTTTTCCCTCCGTGTCAGTGGTGGAGCTGTGTTCCATCATACTGTGGTAACTGCCACATCGCTCAAAAGGCTGTACTCTAGCTCTGGTTCTAAACAGCATGTGGGCATTTTGAATAATCTAAAGAGCGTTAGCCCAAGTGCTCTTGTGAAATACAGGTCACAGCAATTATCTGCTCCCTGCATACATTTTGCTTGCCAAATGTCCTTTTGGAACCTAAGAATTTGCAAGTCTTATAAGGAATTTCCCTTTTAAATGTCATCAAGTTTCTTTGGTATCGTTTAGGTACAAATCATAAAAAAAGCCTGAGAGAGGAATAATAAACATGTAAGACATGAAAAACTTACCATCTGACAATAAAGGACAGCCAGATTTACCAAAGCAGTTGCTACACTAGGGTGTTTTGGGCCAAATGACTTCTGTCGAATTTCAACCGCTAGTTCATACAGAGGAACAGCCTTGTCAAGTTTTCCCTAGAAATAAAGAGGGAAAAATGATTCAGTTGTCTTGTTTCAAAATGGTAACAGTAACATCCATTTTAAACAAAAAACCCTGGACAAGATGTAACTGTCTCCCGAATAAGCGTTTAACTTTGGTCAATTCATAGTTATATTCTGCACAGATTGTTTATCATGAATATTTATTAGGACCTAATTTTCAAAAATACTGGGCATATTCAACTCCCGGTTAATGTGTTTCTCAGCCATGTCTAGTTCTTTCTTTTTTAATTTAATTTTTCCCACATTGAGAAGGCCATTAAAGAGAATTTTCTGTTGTACTCTTATCCAAATAATTTTCTCCATTTTTATTTCCTCATCCTGCCGTGAGAGCAGAGCTTATTTTTCGTCCTAAATGGCCTAAATTTTACTGGTGATAGGGAATGGGAATGTAGCTGCCTTAACTTTTGAGCGGTTTTCTGCTTACTGAAGTGGTGTTTTCACCATCTTCTTTGGAACAGCCGCAGCATCCGATGCCATTTCCAGTACTTGTTGCTTCCCATTCACCATGTTGAGGCTTTGGCTTCTTGCCTTTGGTTTCTCCAAAATACCCCTCTCATATTCCAACTAGTTTTCCTGTAGATTATTTTTCCAGCAAATCTGTTTTCCTCCAAATCTGAATCTGCTCACACATTAACTGGATATACTTCAGAAGGATGCTTAGGCTTCTATGTGATTTTGCATATTTAAGAGCATTAGAAATTAAATACTGCAAATGTCCATTGTTCACTGTATTCACAAAATTAAAATAAATTTTTTTTTTTTTCTTCCCCAAAGCATCACCATGCCGCAGTTTGAAGATGAGCAGCAATTCATCTGGAATACTAAATTATAAATAGTTGTAATTTTCCACATCTGATTCCT